TTCAGTAAGATCTGATTCATGTGACATGGTAAATTTTTAAATGATCGAGTTCTTTATAATGTCATTAAATTAACAAAATTATGCCTGAGAACCTCTCCTTCCCCTCTTCCATCTGCACCTTGATCTGGAATCCAATATTTTCAGGGGACTTGGAGGTTTGTACACATTCCTAAAGCTGCTCTAAAAGCAATCAGCCAACAAGCATTTATTAAGTGTCAACCCTGGGTTTTCTCCTCTTTCTGCCAGCTTCTTCCTCCTCATGTTAGCTTCTCTGTTTCCCTGCTCTATTGCATATTCTCTGGTTCCTCTCGGAATCATCTGCTTGTGGCTTCTACTCAGGGCCCAGGCTCATCGCATTCTCCCTGGCTGTCCTGCTTTTGGACTGCCTGAAAGGACTGGATCTACTCCTGCCCAGCTGTGGGTTCCCCCATTGGGCAGTATTACCTACAGACCACCCATGAGCTGCTGGCCAGCCTTGGAAGACGGCCTTGAATCAAGTGCTGGCCCTGGGCCCAGTCAGCTGTGAGTAGGCAGCACAATTGGACGGACAAATATGAAGGGACTCTGTGCATGGTGGGTATGAGTCGGAGCATGCCAGTGCACGAAGTTCATGACGGGCTGACCTTCAAAGGAGCCAGTGTTTCCTTCTGGTTAATCACAGAGGCATCAGAGAAAGTCAAACCTGAGACTGGGTCTAGACTCACTGCTTGTTAGCTGTGTGAATGTGGGGAAATTATTTGATCTTTCCAAGGCCTTTTCTCTTCTGTTAAATGAATGTAACAATAGCACCTACCTCAGTTTGCAGAATTAAATGAAATAGTGTCTGTAGAGCACTTAGCACAAGGCACAGGAATGAGAACTATTGATACTTCCATCATTGTTATTATTAATAAAGTGAGCTCATAGGTTGGATTGAACAGAATTACAGAGATCTCCCTGTGGACAGAATAGCATAGTGGTTGAATAACTAGATTCTGGAGGCAGTGTATCTTTCTTTAAATCCTGATCCTGTGTGTACCGGTTGGGTTATTGGGAAAGTTTCCTAAATTCACATCTCTAAAATGGAAACAATATCTAACTCAGAGATGTAATGGGAGGAAAGAGAGAGAGAGAGAGAGAGAGAGAGAGGGGAAAGGGGGGAAGGGAAGGAAAGGAAAGGATGAGGATGAATCCATGCAAAGCACTTAGCACAGAGCCTGGCACAGAGCTGCTGACTGTTACTTGTTACTGTTGTGCTAGTTACTACTCTCATACAGCCTGCCAAGCATTGAGAATGAGATGCAGGAAGGGTTAGCTTGAGATTTGATAATGAACTTTGTTTTCAGCAATTCAATTTCATTGTTGAGAGCAACAGACAGTTGAGGGTGTTTTCTTTCATCCCACTTTACCATATTAGTACTTAGCCTTTAAGTACAATTTTCTTTTTTGGAAAAAAGAAAAATGAGAAGAAAAGGCATACTTTTCCAAACCCAAACCAAAATTAAGTGACATTTTGATTCCCAGTGTATGGCTGTGGAAGAATACAGAGAGAGGGAGGAACCTCGATTTACCCGCCAGCAAGCCCCGTCATCAGCATCGGGCTGATCAATTCCTGGTCACTGGACTCCGAGAGCTGGAGACTGGGTTAGTCTGACAAGCAAAATAATGACTGTTACTGAAAGCACTGATAGCTTTGTGGCTGCTGAGAATGTATAAAACCCCTCATTTTGGTACCCTGTTCGAGATTCTGAATTGTTTACACATAATATGACAGCCACTCAATGCATTTCCATCTGAGGAATCAGATAACTAATCTTTAAGGAGAAAATATAGATGTTGTTTCAAAGGCATATTAGCAAATGACGTAATAGCAAGGCCAAAGAAATCTTGCTTTTTGACATTCTGATGGGGTGGTGGATTTTGTGGGATTTTTGTTCCTGTCTTTGCTTGGCCCTGCCTGCCTCAAAGCTGGCCGATAACTGCTCCTTGTCCTCTGTCTGTCTCTCTTGCTGTCGGCTCCTGCCCTTGGAAGAAGAATGAAGCAATCCAAAAGGGGTCAAAGCAACCATAGCTACTGTGTTACTGTGGTCACTGTGTGTCGGGCACTAATGCTCAACACTTACGGTTACCCATTAACCCTGCAGCAGCCCTGTGAAAGAGATCCTATCGCTGCTGCATGGAGGAATGGAGACTTCACAGGTGATATTAATACGTCCCAAATCCACACAGCTGGAAAGGGGCAGAGCCGTCACATCTAATTGTGTGTTTGTGAGAGAGAGAGTGTGTGTGTGTGTGTGTGTGTTTACAAATCCTGTGAGTCCAATACCAGGATATACTACCTTCTTTGTTCAACAAACATTTAAGTGTTTAATGAACACTCGGCTCGACATTCTTGACCAGCAGTGCCTAATGTAGCAAATGCTCTAGGTACCCTTCTGCACTCTTGGCCACTCAAATATACCTGCAGCTTTGGTGGATATTTCCCACACATCCTGAGAGTTTCCTACTTTCTTTCTTGGGGCTTCCTGTGCTGCAGAATGCTCGTCCTACCTGCAGGGGAATCCAGAAGTACCAGGGACTTACTGCCCATAGGAGTGACTTTCAACCAGTGAGGGGCTAGTGTTACTGGATAGATAGCCCAGCTTCTTTGCCTCTTGGGAGGGGACATTTCTGATGTGCACATGAGTTCTGTAAAGTCTCTTAGAGCAGAATTGAACCCCAATTGTTGCTCACAATAATCTGCTCATCAACACTTCCTTTTTGGTTTCCCACTATGTCTCAAGCTAGCCAAATAGGCATTTTTCCTAGACCAGCCACTCAATGTAGAAATAGTTGACTGACTGCTGTTAATCAAAAATAATAGACAGTGGTATCGGTAAGATCTGGTTCCTGCTCCCTAAGATTTTACAAACACACACATGCAAGGATACTTCACCATAGTCAGATGTGTTACAGTTGAGAGACTACTGCAAAAACCCAGGAGAGAAATGACAATGGCTTGGTTTAGGTCAGTGGCAGTGGAGTGACGTGAAGTAATTGAATTTTGGGTATATGTTGAAAGTAATTCTAAGAGGATGTGCTGACAGGCCAGGTGTAGAATATGAGAGAAAGACAAAGGTCGAGGACATTACCAAAGTTGTTGTTGGTTTTTTTTTTCCCCTCTGAGCAATTGGAAGAATGAAGTTGTCCTTCACTTAGATGAGAAGACTACAGAAACTCCTAATACCTGGGGAGGGCAGGTATTAGGAGTTTAGTTTTTGACATGTTATTTGAGATACCTACTGGTCATCCATGTAGGAATATAGAGTAGAGCTGGAATACAGCTAGTGTTTAGGGGCAAGTCCAGGGATAGAGATATAAATTTGGGAGTCAAAGTCATGTGGATTGGAGAGTACATGAGATCATAGAGGGATCCCCAGGGAAGTACAGTCTCCTGGAGGAGCCAGATGTTACTGAATCATACAAATAAATCATTCTAGTCATAACGAATGCCGGGAAAAGAAATTGCATCAAGCATCTTTTAGAGACACAAAGATGCAGCAGACCCTGCCCTAAAGAAGCTCACAGTCTAAAAGGGGAGTTGCAGCTGCATTGAGACAGCTAGAATATAAAGTGTGGTAATAAGAGGGTACAGGAAATGACCTCAGAGATTGACAGGTGGTGGCAGTCACTTAAGGCTAAGGAGAATGATGGAAGACTTTGTGAAGGAGGAGGCTTTTGATGTGGACCATGAAGAATGGGCAAAGAATATAAAGTGTGGTAATAAGAGGGTACAGGAAATGACCTCAGAGATTGACAGGTGGTGGTAGTCACTTAAGGCTAAGGAGAATGATGGAAGACTTTGTGAAGGAGGAGGCTTTTGATGTGGACCATGAAGAATGGGCAACATTTTGGCCTTCAGAGATTAGAAGGAGAGGGGCATTCTATGCAAAGAAAGAACACAGCCAGGCACTCAGGAAAGAAGCAGAAGCACAGGGGAAGTGTGAGAGGTAAGCCCAGAAAAGAAGGTTGGGGTCCAATTATGAAAGTAGTGACTGTCAAGAGGAAAAGTTAGGGCTTATCCTGTGGACAGTGGGAGGCCATTGAAGTCAGTGATTGTCAGGGTTGGAGCTGTCCCTTGGGGAAGGTGCTTTTGAAGATGAAGGGGCAAGAGATAGGAGGCTGCAAGACCGGTCAGTAGGGCTTGGCAGGGAGGAAGAAGAAGAGTGGACAGGAAGACGTTCAAGAGGAAATGCAATCTGACAACAGGTACTAAAATGTTAAATGTGCATCACACATGACCAATATGATGACTTGGAGAAGAAGACTGGAGAAGAGGTGCATATAGGAGGTACAGAATGTACACAAAAGAGTGATCATTAGAACAGTCTATAACAGAAAAACAACAATGAGAAACAACAGAAAGCTCCATCAACAAGAGGGTTAAATAAACTGTGATCCATCCTTACAGTGGAATGCGGTTCAGTGATAAAAGAGGATGATGTATATCTGCGTTCACTGGCATGAAGGGAGCACACAGCTTATTGTTGAGTATAAAAAGACAGGCTGCAAAACAGCATTTACCATAGAACACCATCTATCAAAATGATATTATTAAAATATCATTCGTTTGTACGTGTTTAAGGAGACCATTGAAATATCAAAAAGTGGGTGACAGTTTTCTCTAGATGATAAAGTTTGGTGGTACGTTGTTTATTTCCTTGTTTTGGGATGGGGTAATTTCTCTTTAGATCTTTTTTGATGGCAAGAATTTTCTGCCATAAGCTCGTAATATCTTAAACATAAGATGATTCAAATTTTGAAAGAGAAGTCAAATGGACCGTTCTGAATTCCTGCACAGCAGACATAGCCCTGAGCTAAGAAGTGAGCTGTTGGTAATCTGCATTAGCTGACCTCTCCAAATCAGCATTTGGTCATTGAGCCCCTCCCTGAGGGAAGAGACTTTCCGTCCTGCCTGCATAAGAGAAAGGATCCTGATGGAGCATGCTCAGATGGTTTGGTAACCTTCTCCTCTCTTCCAGGGTCTTCCTGAGAGCTATCAACAAGTTCGCAGAAATCATGAACCAGAAGTTCCTGGAACACACGAACTTTGAGTTCCAGGTGAGTGTGAGGCACCAGAGCTGCCTCAGGAGCTGCCTAGGGCTGCACTGGCGTCTGGGGCTGGTTGCTCCATCAGACACACCCCAAAGCACATGGAAGGTGTGCCAGGATCTCTGAGGATTTCCACAGAGTGTGTGGGTGGGGAGGGATGTTCCTGGGCTTTGCAACCAGTCATCACCTGAGCAGCATATGCAAATGTGGCCATTTGATGGGTCTGGTGCTAATGAGGAGACATTCATTCATTGTTAGAATGGGCACCACCTTTTAAAAACATCACATTTTTTTATTTGTCTATTCATCGGAGACAAAAAACCAGCCATTCACAGACACTAAAAAGTGATTTACAGTAAAGCTCACAAGTACATCTCTGTGGCTTCCTGATGGCTCCAAAAGTCATTTTCAGTGCTTAGCCAAGACCTGGGGCCTCTGAGAGATTCTGGGGCCTAAAAGCTCATGGAGTGACACATGTGCCCCAGGTCCAGGCCCAAGAAGAACCAACTCATCAAAGCCTTGTGGGAAAGTCCAGATTGCTGCCTGTGGCTGGAGATGTGAGAGAGAAGGCCCCCAAAGGGGATCCCCTCCAGGGAAGTACCTGACCCCCAGGATCTCTTGTAGTGAGGGTTTGAGGAGTAGAAGTCTCTGAGCCCAGGGAACTGGGGCGATATGTATTCTGCCTGCTCATCTGAAGTGTTCAGTTTCTAGCTGGGCTTTGGCCTCTCACCAGCTCAGCAACTTCAAGCAAGGCCAGGACTGTATCCGTGCCTCAGGTGATTCATCTGTAAAATGCCTGTTAACAACAACTACCCTTTCTACTTCATAAGGTTTTTCCAGAACCAGAATGTGACAAGGGGCTTGCTGAGAAAATTCACTTGTAGGGTCCCACCAGTTTCCGTTCAAATACTTCCTCCCCAAAGAGATGTTCCCCTGCCTGACTCCTTTCTGAGGATCTCCCACCCATCTCATGGTCATTACGCATCACCACTTGGCCTGTGCTAACTGTCACTTGAAGTCATCTTTCTTATTTCTCTACATGCCTGTTTTATCTTTCCTCCAGCAGAATGTAAGCTTCGTGAGTGCAAAGACCTTGTGCTCACAGTGACTCTGTGCTTTATGTCTGGCACTAGTGGTATCCTTGGGGAGGTGATGTCTGGGCTGAGACATGTGAGATCCACCCTACCAGGAGCACCAGCCTATAACTATCGTAGAACTGAAAGGATGAACATTGTCTTCGAACAGGATTCTCTCCCACTGCTTATACATGCCAGATCTCACGAGAAGCACTTTAAGGACATTATCTCTCCAGCTCTTACAACTGCGCTACAAGTTAGCTGCTATTACTAATTTTTTTCTGCAGTGAGTAGGTAGTCTAAAGTCACACAGTGCATCAGTGCAGAGTTAGGACTAGATCTCGGCAGTGGCTGACACCAGAGCTCACACAGATAACCACGGCCACATGCTATACATGGAATTCACCACTTCATTGTGTTGACTGCCTGGCAGGTCTGGGTAAGAGTTTCTCCTGCCATTATAAATCTTTGATATGGAAACAAAACATGTCACTTTGGCTGTTTCGAAACGGGAGAAATGTTTGATTTCCTTCCAAATGCAGCCCAGAAGTCTGCAGGCTCTGGTTATGGGTGTGTTCAGGGAAGTTAATAGGGCCATTGCTTTTTTAGAGGGCCAGCTTGGAACAACATACCTAGGGGCCAGCGGTGGCAGTGGCCATAAAACTGCAAGCTGGTTTGTTCAACTCTTTCTATAGGCATCAGCAGTTACAGCCTAAGACCTGCTTTCCTCACTCTGGCTCTCCTTCATGGTCTTAGGGGGGTACTTTTCAAAGATTCAGCTTCAATCTTTTAAGGTTTTGTACTGTTTTCTTGAAAGAAAATCTGCATCTGAGAGATGCCCAGGAAATGGAGTTTCATACCTGGAAAGTTTGAGCTTATGAGCTGTGTGACTTTAGGCAAATAACTTCACCTCTCTGTGCCTCAGTTTCCTCAACATTAAATGAGGATACTAATATTAGCTATCTCATTGGAGTGCGAGGATTAATTCATGTAAAGAACTTAGAATGTGCTGGGAACATCGTAGCCATTTAATAAATGCTGGCTCATTATAATAATAATAATTGTTATTTTCTGATGATGATGATAATGATGATGGCCCTAAATGTGTCAGGGCTGGGAACTCATGTCAGTCTTTGATAAACAGGACAGTAGAGAGGCATCTTTCTGGTCACCACAACATTGCCTGGGGCTGTCATACCTACAGGATTCTGTAAAACAGGAGAGTGGCCAACATTACAAAATAAAATGTCTCTTTTTCTAATGAGGCCTCCATAGACATTTATTGAAAAGTACCCAAGAAGGGGATCATTTTTCAACCTTATCTTTGTTCTCTTACCTCCTCCTCTCCCCTCCCCACATGAGAATGGATTTGTTCTCTGTACCCTGCCTGGAACATGCCTTGTCTCCTTCTTATGATTTCATTAATTATGCATTTAATATCAGCAGGAACAGCATCCATCACTGAGTGCTGCTGGCCTTGGCAGTCACTGTCCAGAGGAGGGGCAGGTGCAATGAGATTATCCCTAATATCTTTTCCAGAACTGTGGTTTTATGATTCAAAGGGTCGAAAGCAAGAAGCTCTGTGGGTGCCTCTCTGTAGGTGACAAGACCTGAGAATTATAATAATGGTGTTTTCTGCTTGGAGCTGAGGGCATTTGCATTCCCAAGCCCTATGCAGGATACTGGGCCTTGGTGTTGGCATCCATTTGCATGATTAAAGAAGACCAAGAAAAAATTTCAAATTTAACTTAGCAAAGACTTTTGTTTAAGAACAATTCTCACGGGCCCAGGCTATTGCAAATGCTTTGAGGCATTTGAAAGCAAAGCATAACACTGCCCTTCCCTCAAGGATCTTGGAGTCTTGATAGAAGACTACATAAACCCATCTTCTAGCATCTAAGCATTTTTTAAAGTAATTAATTTTTTTAATTGACATGTGTTAATTGTACATATTTATGGGGTAAGGTTGTATTTCAATACATGTATACAATGTATGATGATCAAATCAGGGTAATTAGCATATTTGTCATCACAAAATTTATCATTTCTTTGTGATCAGAACCTTTGAGCTCCTCTCTTCCAGCCAGTTGAGAACAATAAATTATTGTTTGTAGATACCTGGCACTACTATAGACCACTAGAACTTATTTGTCCTGCCTAGCTGTAATTTTGTATCACTCAAGCTTTTGCAGAAGGTGACTAACTTTAGGCGTCTGCTTAAGGCATTTTGATCCTTGTCATAATCCTGTTCACCCATTTTACTGGTGAATAGACTAAGCTTCAGAGAGGTAGTTGACTGTTCTGTTAAAGGTCACCTAATTACTAAATGGGGACTCTGGGATTCAACCCTAGGCCTGTCTACAAAGCCCAATCTCTTTCTACTCTTCTGCAGAAACAGCATGTCTTTGGATTCTAGGAGACAGCTCTATTTAGCTCAGAAAACACTCTCTGCATTGTTAGTTTTTACTGGCATTGGGATAGAGAGCTCTATGGTGACTGGCTGTAGGATTAGACTGTCCGTGTTGGAGACTCTCACTGGCTCTGGAATCAGTGGTCACACTTAGGATCCAGAAAACCGATTTCTGTCTTAGGCGGCTTTTTGATTGGTACTAAGAACATTCTCTCTACTTGGGAAGCTCTAATTGGCTCTGGATGTGGTCATTCCTGCCTAGGCCTTGGGGCATTTTGGGGTCAGCTTCTGGTCACCAGCCTATCTTGGGATCATTTTTGAACCTGCACTGGAGATCTTATGAAATGAAAAACTTCCAGAATATTCATAGCCATTAGTGGAGGAATGAGGGCCAGCTTGGTCTTTACAATGGGAAATGTAACCAGTGATGGCAAGAAAAGCAAGGGAGAGACATGCACACAGAGGGAGTAGTGATCAAAGTCTTGAAAATGCCTATCGCACCACTGTAGAGAGACTTCATAGCAGGCAGGCACCACCTGCAGAAAGATGGGCATATGCCTGGTACTGTTTCCCCAGCCATGCCTGCTTCAGCTTTTGGGTCCCAGACAACCTCTGGTCTGATGTTCCTAACCTGAGTTCACACCTGGAACCTTTCATTCCCAGATCAACAACATCCCCAGAACAGTTATGGCAACTGGGCCTCTACCATATAGTCAGAGAAGGGCAAGCTAACTGCATTTCAGCAACACTGTGTGCTGAGTTCTTTTTTCTTTTTCTTTTTTAATTGGAATTTGGGATAAATGATAATTTAAGACCATTGAGAAAGAATCCTTAGGATCAAAAATTCTTCATCTCTGTGCTATAAAGACTGTAAAACATCAGAAACCTTTACCAACAACAAAGGCTAAAGGAAACAGAGAAAAAAGAGGAGCTATTTTAGCCGAAGAGCAGAGCAGTTAAGAATGCAAGTCTCATCACTTATAACAGAAAAATAAATAAATAAATAAGTAAATAATAAAGAACACAAGTCCTGGAGTAAGATAAACGTGGTTTCAAATGCCACCTTCATCATTTTGTAGCTGGGTGACCTTGGACAAGTTATTTAACCTCTCTGGGCCTCAGCTTCCTGATCTCTAACATGAGGAGAATAATAACACAAATCTCATAGTTCCTGATCTCTAACATGAGGAGAATAATACTGCAAATTTCATAGTTCTTTAAAAATGCATAGAGAGTGCTTGGCTCATTAATAGATTTATCCAACAAATATTTCCAGAGCACATGCTGGACCAGACATGACACTGGACACTGTATATACATCAAGAAATAGAAAAAGTGAGGTTCTTGCCTGCATGCTGCTTACATCCAATAGAAGAGACAGAAAATTAATTTTATTTAAAATATCTCATAAATGCCGTGTAATGAGTGGTGTAATGAGGGGCGGATCTACTTTAGTCTGGCTGAATGGGGTAGGATTTCCCAGGAAGTGATGTTTGAACTGATATTGCAAGACCCAGTAGGAG